AAGCAGTAAACAACAGCCTAATCTAGGAACTACCAAGGAAAAAACAACTCCCCCACCAACATTGAGAGGGCATGCCACTGTATATAAACAGAGAGCAAACCCCACTCCCTTGTAGCACTGAAGATGTTACTTAGTTGGGTAACGAAACGTCTACAAGAAAACAACCCAGTTCAGAGAACACCAAGAACTCCTCAATGGCCATCGTGTTCATTCACAAGGGTGCACAGCTGAAACAAGAGGTGCATTGCAGCCTGTTTTTCCAATGTGAAGCTGGAATATTTGCTCCAGAGTAAACGTTGCTTTGGGCCAAATGTTCTTGACTTGAGCCTCAAAGATTGGAGGTGAATCTGATATCAGGGCAAACTGACCACACTGGCAGTCACTTGGGAATGTGGAGGGTCAAATGCATCTGGAAGGGATTGGTTGAGGAAGCCTTTGGAAATGACTCAATAGACTGACTTCTCTTCCTTTCTCCTTTCAGGGACGGGTTCCAGCATCCTTTCAACTCTTCAGGATCTCTCTTGGCTGTCCAAGTCGAAAATTGAGAAGCAACTGCAGATCATTTCAGTGCTACAATGGGTGATCTCATTCCTTGCTATGGGTAAGGAAGTCTTCTTGTCTCAAACACTGAAACTTTAGGTGTGGTGTTGTTTGAAGATATGGATGCATTGATCACCAAAGGTGCCTTCAAGAGAGAGCCCAAACACTTTGGTCTTGGTAGCCTAGTTGAAATATGGGCTGTGTTCAGACAATGCACTTAACTAGATCATAGTCTAAGATCTGGCAGCTTCCTCAAGATTAAGTATGCTTCAGCTTTTTTTGCAGCTTAGCACATTGCATAAGCCTCTGTTGTTGGTTACCTTATGGTTCAATGTCTTGTCTGAATACAGAAAATCAATTATTTCAGTAATATGGTTGAATGTGATGTACAAACCCAGCCTTGTCCACTGTCATCTCACTGAGCTTATCCCCATGATCAAATAGAGCATTGATAGGATCTTGGTTTAGATGGACTGTGTCTTCAAGATTCTCCATGTTCTTGCTTCAGATGCAGCAGCTGAGGAACAAAAGCTCTCCTGATATTAGGCTACAACTCCTCCAAATCTGTTAGTATCAGCCAGGTTGGTTGGGACTGTAGACCGGCAAGTCCACAAATTCCTCTCCTTCAAACTGTAGGTCGCCTTATGACCAGGAAACTCTGGCCAGACAGAACTGGGCTTTCTGAATTGCTAGAAAGGACATATTCCCCACCCTTCCCCTTTCTTCTTTTGCCCGTAACTATCACACTTGGACCCCTTGCCACTGCCTTCAGTTGGGAAACTAATAATGCACTGTACCTTTTTGAGGCCTTAAGGTGGACAGAAGATGACCTGGAAAATGAAGCTAAGGGCGTCCAAGAGGCAGAAGAACAGCCAAGATGGGGATGGATATTTGGTTGATTGAAATGGGAAATGTCAAGTTCTAACTCCTTTCTTCCTTAAATTCAGATCCCAGGAGATCTTTTTCCTGGTTGTTCAGCCTTTGCATTAACCCTGGATAATTATCCATGATTTCCAGGGCAGAAAGGGGGTGGGTGCCCACCCTGAGCCAAAGGACTTGGACACCTGGCCCAAGTTTTATTTACACCGTGATCCAACCTGTGAGTGTGACCGTGACTTCTCAAGGCCATTTTGTGGGGAATGGAGGAGGCAGGGCTCCACCCTACCTGGAACACATGAGTTTTCCACAGACATCCAAACATGTTTGTGAAAAACTGGCTTCATGTCCGGTGTTTTTCTCCCCAGGGGTAACAACATCTCAGTTTTTGCCTCAGTTTCAAAGGATCAAGTGTCATTTTCATGATGATGTCTTTGGGCTCTCCCACAGATCTTCCTGGGCTGAAGTGAAGTTGGATCATTTGTGGGGACCTTGTCCTTGGCTCTGCCTGTGGTGGTGTGAGCCGGACCACCAGTGTTAACCCATCATATGATGTCTTTCTTTGGGCAGATCGTAGTAGGTGAACACCCCAATTGTGGTTTGTTAACCTGGTTTGTGAACTGCACCTGTATCTGTATGGTCTGTGAGAAAGGTGTGGGGGTTAGACTGCTATGGCAAGAACTGCCTGCCCCTCCATTCCTGGTTCACATCCCAAAAGATTGCTTAATGGTGAGCCACCTTCCTTTCTTTGTTTTTTACACAAGATGCCTTGCAAAGGTCCTGGGCTGTGATTCCCAGGATTCCCAGCCAGCACGGCCTCTGCCTGGGGAATTCTGGGAGTTGAAGACTAACACTGCTTGGGGGCGGCAGGTGTATTTGTGAGTTTCGCCCCTTCCTTTGGCCAGCTTAAGTGGCCCTGTCCTTGGGGTGGGAAGATGACTCAGAATACGTGCCAGCTTCTCTGCACTTGGGCAGCCGAAGTCTTGGCAGGGGGGATTGTTAAATAAATACTGGGTCACTTCTCAAAAAATAGAATGCATTGCTGCTAGGCGATATTATTGCAACATGAGATGGCCCAAAGGAGCAGCTTGGAGTACCATCAGTGCTGGCCAAAGAGAGAGAGGATGCCCATTTAAATTGAAAAATAGAATTCTGTGCCAAGATGCAATTGGGGTTTGATAGAACTCATTCAGGGGAAGTGGGGTCTGGTGGGGGCCATGTTAACTGGAAACTGGGTGGGTTCTGGCTGGGACGTTCCCCAAAGTATTTCACTGTTGTGCTAAGCAAAAGTTTGGGATCCTCTGTTGGATCTGTTGGTCATTTGGCTGCTGTTGAAGGAGAAGGAGGCACATTTGAAGCTCCAAGGGGTGCCCCCAGATTGCCTGGCGGAAATCTGACCGCAGAAAAATTCCTTGCTACCTTTAGCAGTGGAGTATGACTGTATTGTCCCTCCACCCTGCTTCTGGTCGTCCTCTTGTTCAACAATAAATACCCCTGTATAAATCTATGGAAGAGGTATACTATTATGGAAACCTATGCATAGTACTAAAAATGATTAAATACAAATGGCTAGACAATAGATAAAATCCCTACATTCCTAAAATCTACAGATATGTCAAACTGAATGCCAGCTTCAGTTAATTTCTGCCAAGGTTGAGAAGCACTGTCCTAATGAAAGGGCTGTGAGATGAGTTGATCCAACTTCACTGTTATGACTTCGTCTTGCCCCAGCAGGGCATCAGCCACGGTGGCATTGGCCACAGGGGCATAAGAAGCCCTCTTTGAGAAAGCTGGCATTCCTGGCTCTGCCCAGTCTTCATTGAGCCCCACCTTGCAGCCTCAGATTCTCTGGGCAAGTAAACACGTTCATTGCTGCAAGGGCTGGTTTTTCCCCTTCAGGGTATAAAGTGCACATCAATTGCAGAGGAATTTTAGGGAAATTCCTCCCCTTTGCAGCCCAGGTAGCTTTTTAGCTTCAGGCACTGAACATCTACTTTTCCACCAGGCGGGTGGCGCATGATACGGATGTGCTGGTGTGCAAACGGGAGCTTTCTTATCGCTCCCCTTGCTGTCGGCTGTGCGTGGCACTTTTATTATCCTTTAGGGCAGGGTTCAGCAGAGAAAATTAATTAATTCGTTGGTTTATTTATAATTTTGACTTTGATGGCGGCCTCCTGGGATGTGCCTTTGGGTTACTGGCTTACAAGGGTTAAAAAGAACCATAGACATGAATAAGATTCAAACTAGAATAGAAATGGCCACGGTGAGTGGGAACCACGACAATTAAAAACCGACAACTCAAAACATAGATGGAAAGAAATCTGCACTCTTTCAATCAATTTCGGAAAGGTCTTTATATTGTAAAAATGAGAAGGTGGAAGGATATTTTCCTGTGGGAATCAAGATTTAATGATACATTTAAGGATTGAATTATTTTATATTAATATCGTATGGATCTTCCCCCCCCTTTTCCTTTGTTTCTTCCCCTTCTTCAATTTAGTTTATTTTAATCCCTGTAACGTTTGCATTTTTAAATAACAATTGTCACTGATGTATTCTTTCATTAGTTTGTTATTCTTCACTAATAAATGTAGATAGATTACAATTAAAAATAGAACAGAGTGAGAAGTCCTGAGCGCTTCATGAAGTCCTTGGGTTCGAGCTGAAATGGGGGCATCTGTAGGATGAGGGGATTGGAAAAAAAGATGCTTTTAACTGCGTAGGTAAGGAAAGATCAAATTCAAAAATCAGGGCCAGGCTCTGTAGAGAAAAAAGTCCCCCGGTTTTTCCCTAGTGCGTCCCTAGGGGAGAGGCGATGGGGCAGAAGTTGCTCTGTGCGCATATCTTCCCAGCATGCACTCGGGAGCTTATGCATAATTTTTTTGCTTAGTGTTACTTATGGTGGATCAGGTGTTGAATTGGCACTGGGGAGACCCAGGTTGTAGTCCAGTGTTTCTCAAACTTGGCGAGTTTAAGAC